GGAGCAGGAAAGTCGATGTTTTGGCTGGGACAGTTATTGTCTGAAGAATTTCTGAAGAAAGGTTCCGGCCTGAAACATCAGCTTTCCTGCTCCTCTGATGCTGCCTGGCCTGCTGTGCTCCTCCAGCTCCACACTTTGTTATCTCTGTCTCCAGCATCGGCAGTTCTTACTATCTCTGAAAACATTTTTATTGATGTTTTTATCCCCATGAGAATATTATGATACAGACGTGTGAAAATTATGTAGTCTCCTGAAAAAATGTAAAAATCAAGAGTTGAGATACATTGTAACGCCAGGGTATTATTGTGGTCATTTATGGGACAGCTGTTTAACCCATTGATAAGCATGTCTGCCTCCTTTCAGGGATGGGAGTGGAGGTTATAGCAACACTGGCTGGAGCTGCTATTCAAGGTCAGATTGTGGGAGCATATCACGTACAAACTGCTGAAACGTGCCGCATGATGCAGAATGGAACAGAACTCAACAGCACCTCCCCGTTGGTAAACAGCCTCAATAACACGGTCAGTACTGCTCATTGAGTGACCTTAGTCTTGTCTTTGATGCATACTAAATTACCTTGACTATATTCAGAGATGGGTGGATTTCACTGTGGGTCAGGCTCTGTGCTGGACTATGTTTAAAAATAAAAATAATCTTGAAGCCAGGGGCATTCTTCTTCTTGAACATACAACTTGCATTTCTAGCTGTGAGAAGGCAGAGGGTGGTGGTTGATGGGAAATGTTCATCCTGGAGTTCAGTTATTAGTGGTGTACCTCAAGGATCTGTTTTGGGGCCACTGCTGTTTGTCATTTTTATAAATGACCTGGGTGAGGGCGTAGAAGGATGGATTAGTAAATTTGTGGATGACACCAAAGTTGTGGATAGTGCGGAAGGATGTTGCAGGTTACAGAGGGACATAGATAAGCTGCAGAGCTGGGCTGAGAGGTGGCAAATGGAGTTTAGTGCGGAAAAGTGTGAGGTGATTCACTTTGGAAGGAGTAACAGGAATACAGAGTACGGGGCTAATGGTAAGATTCTTGGTAGTGTGGATGAGCAGAGAGATCTCGGTGTCCATGTGCATAGATCACTGAAAGTTGCCACCCAGGTTGATAGGGTTGTTAAGAAGGTGCACGGTGTGTTAGGTTTTATTGGTAGAGGGATTGAGTTTTGGAGCCATGTGGTCATGCTGCAGCTGTACAAAACTCTGGTGCGGCCGCACTTGGAGTATTGCGTACAGTTCTGGTCACCGCATTATAGGAAGGATGTGGAAGCATTGGAAAGGATGCAGAGGAGATTTACCAGGATGTTGCCTAGTATGGAGGGAAGGTCTTATGAGGAAAGGCTGAGGGACTTGAGACTGTTTTCGTTAGAACGAAGAAGGTTAAGAGGTGACTTAATAGAGACCTACAAGATGATCAGAGGATTAGATAGGGTGGACAGTGGGAGCCTTTTTCCTCGGATGCTGATGGCTAGCATGAGGGGACATAGCTTTAAATTGAGGGGTGATCGATATAGGACAGATGTCAGAGGTAGGTTCTTTACTCAGAAAGTAGTAAGGGCGTGGAATGCCCTGCCTGCAAAAGTAGTAGACTCGCCAACTTTAAGGGCATTTAACTGGTCATTGGATAAACATATGGATGATAATGGAATAGTTTAGGTTAGATGGGCTTCAGATTGGTTTCACAGTTCGGCGCAACATCGAGGGCCGAAGGGCCTGTACTGCGCTGTAATGTTCTATGTTCTATGTTCTAAAGTGCCTTTAATGTTGAAAAATGTCCATGGTGCTAGCCATCAACATCCGAGGAAAAAGGCTCCCACTGTCCACCCTATCTAATCCTCTGATCATCTTGTATGTCTCTATTAAGTCACCTCTTAACCTTCTTCTTTCTAACGAAAACAGTCCAAGACATGTAACTGAAGCACAGTAAGACAAAAGTGAGGCCTGCAGGAGACTGCATGTTTGGGCACACACAGAGTTAATGTCCGGATTTGCATAATAAACATTGCATTTCTCCCTGTATGGGCACTGGGTTATCCTCTTATCAAATGAAACCCAAAGAAAGGTCGCTGTTTCATGCTGCAACATGCTGTACTCTCATTAAAATGCTACATCTAATGTCCTGTTTGATGCTGATCCTCTTGAAAGTCCTCAACTTATTTTTATTCTACTCGGATTGCAAAGTTTGGCCCTATAGGAATGGGAATTCAGCAATTGAAGCCTGGAACCTGATAGCAGGACCACATTTTGTGAAATCATACAGTCGCTTAATTGGGTGTAAAGTTCCTAATTGAGCTAGCATTTACTGCTTTCTGTGGGAAAGAGTTCTCCAGTTCTATCACACTTTGCATTTCCTAAGTTTTCTTCCAACTGACCTGCCTCTGATTTGAAGGTTCTGTTTTCTTGCTGTGTACTATTCCACTGGCAGAAAAAGGTTTCTGCATTTTGAAAGAAATTGTGAAAAGGATGTGGGGGATCACTGAAAGTGCTAGTCTTTGTTGTGTATGTCTAATTTCCCTTGAAGTTGGTGATCCTCAATGTTTTGAACTGCTGCAGTTTATATGGTGTAAGTGCATCCACAGTATCTACCCTCTGAATAGCTCCCTAAATTCTGATTGCAAGACTACATCCCACTTTAACAATGTACATAGAGAACCAACATGGACCACAATCTCTTGCTGTTTGCCCTCCCCCAGAAGCATTTCTTGCAGCCATTTTATGACCTCTTTGACCCAAACACTAGGGAGGCAACAAACCATCCTGGAGTTATATTGACTGCCAGAAATGATTGTCTTTTCCACTAACTAAAGGATCCCCTATTAGCCCTGTCAAGCTACTCCTCCTGTTCTCATTCTGTACAGCTGGGCCACCCAGGGTTCCACAAATTTGCCTCCTGCTGCACTCATCCAACGATCCAATGCCCACCAATGTCCAGAATGGAACAAAGCAGAACTTGCACTGCTTACTCCAAGGGTGTGCCTTGAAACAAGCTCAGGATCAGAAGTACTTGCATACTGTTAGGCTGAACAATTTATCACATACAAGACAAGCCAGATTTTGGGTGAAGGGAAATTGATGATATTAACCAGCTGCAGCATAATTGTCCTAGCTGATTTATCAAGAAAATCTAGTTTTCCGAAGTACTTGATGGTCTTCTCTTTCACCTTTAAATTTGCCTTGGAACTTTTCAATATATTAGATTGGCAACACTTGCTCTTGGTTTTGTTCAGGTTACAATTGGAGGAAATTTGCAATATGGTTCATTTTGTTTCATTATTACGACATGAAGTTACATTGTTGACCTATGCTAAAAAGAAAGGGAAATATTGATGTATCACAATTCATATTGAATTTTTATGCTCCCAGTCTTACCTCAGAGTAAGTTAAGGACCGATGTGTCCTGCCACTGGAGAGGAGTAATAAAAGTGGCAAGGAAAATACTGAACTATGTAGCAGGAACTTTGGAATATTACTTGAGGATGTCATTCTGAAAAGGCAAAATGCTTTGGCTTGACCACACACCTGAGACAGCTTGCATCTGGTCAATGTATAAAATTTATATTTCTATACATTTTATTGCAACTCTGCATTTCCAGTCCTCCTGTCTTACTTGCGCTGTGATTTATTTTCCCTGCATCTTGTTATTGTCATCCCTCAAATTTTCTGAGGCCTTCATTGTTGCAGTATTATTGAAATCCTGAACATGTTTTAGGGAAGAGTTAAAGATTGATATTTGGAGTTAGGTAATATGAGGAAAGACTGAAGAAATCTGTATCTTTAAGCTTTAAAAGAAATGAACAACAAAATGATGTGCGAGAAGTAGATATGATAGTAAATACAATAATTTTGAACACGACAATACATTTAAACAGTCCCAACCATAGATCAGTGGACACAATTTACATTTGGAACTTATTGAATTCTTTACACTGCAAGTGATCAATAATTGGAATGGGCTACTGATTAGGATAGTGGAAGCAAAAATCCTCTGTTTGCTTGAAAACGCATTTGAGTGGCGTGAATTGTTTTGTAGGGGGGTGGTTATAGGGATATTGTGGATAGTTAAACCAGCGTGAATTGAGGGGCCCTTTTTTCCCTGAAACTTGAGCCTCAGGCCGTGCCTGTAAGAAATGTATATTTCTCTGTTTTTTCAGAAATGGGCTTACATGCTGGCAGCCATGGTGATTGGGAGCCTTTACTTTCTCTGTTCGTTGATTCTGTTACTTGGAGTAAAGGAGCACACAGGTAAGTGGCTGGAGTGTGATTGATACACTGAGATATGGCAATAATAGCTACACAAAACAAGTTATTCCTCATTCTGATAAAATTGTAAACTGTGAGCTGAAGTCTGGAGCTATTTGTCATATCGTTTTTTTTTTCATCACCAAACGTTTCCCTTTTACTTTAATTTCTTTCTAGCAGACATTGGATTTTACCAGGCTCCACAACTTACTAATATTATGTAAAAACCAAAAGAACTGTTGATGCTGTAAATCAGGAACAAAAACAGAAGTTGCTGGAAAAGGTCAGAAGGTCTGGCAGCATCTGTGAAGAAAAAAAATCAGTTAACGTTTCCTCAGAAAGGCTCACCAGACCCAAAACATTAACTTTGATTTCTTTTCTTCACAGATGCTGCCAAACCTGCTGAGCTTTTCCAGCAATTTCTGTTTTTGTTACTAATACTATATGTAAGTGACCATTCTTCATGTTTGAACTTGATCAGTAAGTGCAAGCAGGGGTTTGATTGTGAAAAACGGCAAAGCCCAGCATGTGTTTACTCTAAGTTGTCAACGTGGATGCATTTTCTCATCGGAGTCAGTGGATAGTGATCTGGAACAGAAAATGGGGCTAATTTTCACTTCATAAATGTGGAAGGATGAAGATAAATCTTATATTTTTTAAAATATTTATTTGCAGAAAGATGTGTCATTGCCAAGGTAATGTTTATTATCTTGAAAAGGTGGCAGGGATGTGCTTTTTTTGATCGATGGATCTAACATAAGTTAGTGCCCCAACGGTGCCTTAACTGAGATCAGCTGATTTGACACAGACCTATTCCAGTTGTTCTGAACGGTCCTTAACCAGATATTTTACTTTTATATTAATTTGTTCTGCCGCACTGTCCTTCTCCACTCCCTAAACACATGCAGCATTTCGCCGATCTTATATATGAATCCTCAACAAGGAAACCAAGAAAGCAAACCCACTCCCTCCTAGATTGTAGCTTCCAGTACGATTTTCATTACACAAATTTACACTGTGACTGTTTTAAAACGGAGGGAGGTCTTGTGGCAGAGTGTGTGGTGTCCCTGCCTTTGAGCCAAAATCTCTAGCTTTGGCTTTGATTTCCCCTGTGGGGCTTGATGGTTATGAGGAGTGTTCATGACGCGGCCAATTAGCTTGGTTATCAACTTGTGCAATCCTTCCAATGTGCCTGTTGTGGGCTGTAAGAGGACAGAGTCCCCTGGTCAGCATACTTGCTTAATGTCTCTCTCGAGCTGTAGCCTAAGGTGATCTATTTCCATGACTAGGTTTTCCTGGAATAGATATAAAAATATGCTTTTGTTTGCAGGGGAAAGCCTCAAAAGCTGTCCTGAAATGTGACTGACAATATGGTGATGGTGTCAAGCAAATTGCCATTTTCTTTGCTCATCATTCTAACAAGATAACTCAATAATACTAACACAGGCCAATATCATCATTTTCTTTGTAAATCTGGATGTCAAATGAATGATTTCTGTGAATAGTCACCAGTTAATATCAAATTTGCAAATATTTGTTCTCGATAAGAGACTTTGGCAGATGTTACTGGCAGGAATGGATGATCTGCCATTGACGAATTGCAACGTGAATGTATTTTTCTAAATTTAGGTAAAGATTGAACATTGATCATTTGGCTGGTTGCAAAGCCCTAACAGATTAGACTGGACTGGTTTGACTTGTACATTGTATAATTCAAATATTTGTACAGGTAGGTGTAGAGCTGGATGAACACAGCAGGCCAAGCAGCATCATAGAAGCAGGAAGGCTGACGTTTCGGGTCTAGGCCCGAAACGTCAGCCTTCCTG